TGTACCATGGTTGCTATATGGTCATCTGTGCCATAGTTACCAGAATACTTGTTTGTACCATGGTTGCTATATGGTCACCTGTGCCATAGTTACCAGAATAGTTGTTTGTACCATGGTTGCTATATGGTCATCTGTGCCATAGTTACCGGAATAGTTGTTTGTATCATGGTTGCTATATGGTCACCTGTGCCATAGTTACCGGAATAGTTGTTTGTACCATGGTTGCTATATGGTCATCTGTGCCATAGTTGCCGGAATACTTGTTTGTATCATGGTTGCTATATGGTTACCTGTGCCATAGTTACCAGAATAGTTGTTTGTACCATGGTTGCTATATGGTCATCTGTGCCATAGTTACCGGAATAGTTGTTTGTACCATGGTTGCTATATGGTCACATGTGCCATAGTTACGTGGTCGTTTGTACCAAAAAAATGACCGTTTGTGCCATAGTTACATGCTCATTTGTACCATAGTTACCTAGTTAATTTTAGTAAAAAAATGGCTGTTTGTGCCAAGAAAATGGTCGCTTGTGCCAAAAAAAATGGTCACATGTGCCAAAAAAATGGCCATTTTGACCGCGTTACCGACAGACAGACGGACAGACGGACAGACGGACAGACACACAGACACAGGTGAATTTAGGTTTCTAGACCCTAGCCTTTCAGTCTAGGGAATATAGTTCCTACAAAAGAACCTCAAATGAATACTCATTCTTGAGTCAATTATTTTCATACAATGACCTGGTCATCCTATGATCATTTCAAGCACTGGTTGGACTCTGCACAAATCTTCAATTATTCTAACATGTTACCTTCAACGTTCTGTTCTTGTAAATTTGGTCTCAAACAATATTCTTGCAGCGATACAATAGATCTTATGATGATTTGAAGAGGTCGAGCAATCTCACAGTTAACTGGAAAAAGAAATGTGAAAGATCGAAGAAAAAAAGCTAAACATTCGCTGTCGAAGAACTGATTTTTGTGTATCTTAGTCTGAAGTATTTTATTATATATTAATAAATTTAACATTAGTAATATGTCTGTTTGTCACACGAGATCCTGTTTATTCGTATACACATAAGGTAGGACACTATATTTAGCTTTTCTCTTTATCATATCGAACTGAGCTCTTTTCCTCTAATTTCATTGCTTCAGTGTTAATGAGCTTTTTCCTGAGATTAATTCCTCTTATTTTGAGCTCGGAAAAAAACGAGCTCATTTTCCTAATTTTTTTCGAGCTCAATTCTTCTTCGTCCTACTTTTCTTGGCTCATATCTCTGAAGCTAAATTAACTATCAAAAACGCTGTCTTAGTAACTTTGCTGTCGTAGACAGACGAACTCGTAGATTCTCATGTAAACAGCAATCACATCAATTTTATAAAACATTGTCCATCTTCTCTCATCTGCATATTAAAGTAACATGCGATGTAAAAGTAACGAGACAAATGTTGACCCTTATTTCTCTTCAATAGAAGGGTGTTGAAAGAAATATTTTTTATCAAAAGATAGAGCCTTTTCTCTTTTTAATCATATATAACTGATTTTTGTAACATGTTCAGAAGTGAAATGACATAACAGAAAAGAGAAGCACCCTGAAAAAGAATTCCCACTTTTTTAAATAAAAGGATCACATAAAACGTCGATCCTTATATTTCTTCGATATATAGGTTCTGAAAAGAATATTTTTTTTTATCAATTGATAGGAAATTTTCTTGTCTATCAAACAGTGTATGATTCATATTTGTCACACATCGATAAACGAAACGAGACGGGAAAAAAGAGGAACACTTGTGCAATAAATTTCTAAATTTCATATGAATTCGTTAAACACATCTCGTAGACGATAGTTAATTATTATTAACTGTCGTTTTCCAAGATATCTTTAAAGAGTTGATAAAAGTCGAAGTGTGGGTGTGGGTGTGGGTGGGGTGTGGGCGGGGTGTGGGTGTAGGTGTGGGTGGGGTGTGGGTGGGGTGTGGGTGGGGTGTGGGTATGGGTGTGTGGGTATGGATGTGGGTGGATGTGGGTGTGGGTATGGGTGTGGGTGTGAGTATTTTCCTTGTTTACCCTTCTCACACCCACACCCATACCCACGCCCACATCCACCCATACCCACACCCACATCCACCTACATCCACACCCACACCCACCCCCACACCCACACCCACACCCCACCCACACCCACACCGACACCCACACCCACACCCACACAAAAGAAGACAGAGAATGCTCATCTTCAATGATTCTTTTTTCTAATATAATTTAATAACTATCAATTCTTACTTTCTATGTCTAAAGAGCTAAAGAACATGTGGATACATTTAAGTCAACATTAGGGTGTGGGGTGTGGGTGGGTGTGGGTGTCGGTGGGTGTGGGTGTCGGTGGGTGTGGGTGGGTGTGGGGTGTGGATGTGGATGGGTGTGGGTGTGGGTGGTGGAGTGTGGGTGGGTGTGGGTGTGGGTGTGGGTGTGAGTGGTTGTGGGTGTGGGTGGTGGGGTGTGGGTGGTGGGGTGTGGATGCGAATGTGGGTGTGAGTATTAATCGTTGGAACACCCACACCCATATCCACCCACACCCACACCCACACCCACACTCACACTCACACCCACACCCACACACCCACACCTACCTACACTTACACACCCATACTCACACCCACACCCACACACCCACACCCACACCTACACCCACACCCACCCCCACATCCCACACGCACACCCACCCACCCAACCACCCACACCCACACCCACACCCATCCACACCCACCCTAATCTTTTACATAATATTGTACATATAATTTAAGAGACTTATGTGATATTATGATAAAACCCGACAATATCTTATAAATTGAGCGTGGGGATCAGACATGGCTATGGTTTTAAGTGAGTATAAAATTCACAGTTACATCTTGCAACCGACCTCACTACCATCCCAGATTTCACTCATGTTCACACCCTCAAAAAAGCAAAATTTCGACTATTGGTCACTTCTTAAAGTTTTCTTCTCTAGGGCTGATAAAGGTATGACAAGCAACACTTCTTTCATATTCTCTGTTTTTGATAAGATAACTTGAAATAGTTTTCATTTATAACAACAAAAAAATACACATGGAGTCAACTAATACATCGAATGCAAATACATTAACAATAACAACTACAGGTATGATACGAATTGGATATATTAATGAAGTGAATTATGGGTAAACGAACAGAATATTTAATTGAAAATTTAAGATTATCCAAATGAGCTTTCAGTTACATCGTTTTTTTTAGATTAACAATCGATTGTAGATAAATTAATCTGAGGACTGCGTCATTTCTATATTGATTGTAATAGAAGATATAATGGTGTTTTCTTCTAATTCCAAATATGAGAAAATAATAGAATAATCAAATTAATTGCAGAAATTTTTCTATTATATAGTTTATCAATAAAAATTATCAAGTCTATTGGAACTGTCACCAATCGTAAGACGAGAGTTTTTTAGAGGATCTATAATGATTCTGTGATGAAATTTCATAATTCTGCACTTGGAACATATATGGAATGTTATTCTATTGAAAATTTATAATGTAAGATAAACCATTATGAAGGAATGTGTTCCAATATGCATTAAAGAACAGTTACATCGCATTTTATATATTTAATCCCACAAAGCATTGCGCTAACAGCTTTTTTTTTCATACTTTTACTTGACTCAAAAATTTAATAGATATTCAATCTGATCAGCAAGATCGATTAGAACAGTTAAAGCGTGATGGTGTCGAAAAAGAGGCGTCGTTGGATAAGATATCTGCAGACGTCTCTAATTCGATCATTCATTTCAATGTTGGTGGAAAAAAACTGAGTACATCAAGAAAGATATTAACTATGATCGAAGATACTCTTCTATCAACAATAATTTCGGATGAATGGAATAAGAGATTGGTCAAAGATATTGATGGTGCCTTTTTTCTCGATTATGATCCCGTGGTAAGAATAAAATGATCAATGAATTTATAAAACGAGTGACAAACATTTTTTTGTATTTCAGCTATTTAAACATCTTATAAATCAATTACGTTATTGGTCATTGAATCCATTGGCAACAAGAGTTTTTTCTCTACCCAAAGAGAATAAAAATGAATTCATTAGTCTTGTTCGTTCTTTAAAATTTGATGAAAGATATCTGACTGACACTTTTTCAGAAAATGTTAATTCTAATGTTAAAGTTATCGATAATCAACGTTTATGTGTTAAAACTTCAGAAGACCAACATTTAGCTTATGTTGCTGGCAATCTTCTTTATTTTGAAGGAAAACATTTCATAAAATTAATGCTTACATTAACAAATATGCAAATTGGATTTATTGGAATTCGACCAGCAAATCTACCAATTGAAATGAAGTCTACTAAAAATTCTTTTCCAATTCCGTACACATTTGGTATAGATAATAAGTGTTTAGTTATGAATGGAACATGTACTTCCTATTTCAGTGCATGGCAAACATTTACTCCAAAAAATACTTTTCTTATTGAACTTGATTGTGATTCTCGTACGATGCACATCACAAGAGATCAGTATTCCCATTTCAATTATCATCATTTCACACAGATTCGATTTATTGATTTAACATTAGCCCCATTCCCATGGCAACTTTTTATCGTATTGAAAGACAAAAATGACTATGTTCGTATTCTATTGTGAACAATAATTTATTTACTTTTGAACTCTCTTTTTTTCTTAATCGAACTGATTTTATTATAATACAATATCATTTTTTGGGTGTGGATGTGAGTATGGATTTCTTTACTTACTTCCATATCCATGCCTTTAAGTCAATATAAAAAGAATTCTTGAAGAGATTTTATCTTAAAATTCGCATTAATTCAAAGTCTATAATAACAATTGATGTCTCTTGTTTTTAATCAATAGTTTAATTCAGATAGTTGTCTCTGATGAAAAGAATGAAATTGTTTTGTTTTTCTTCAAAGAAATACTCTTGCATTCAACCTTTATGAATTATCAATATTCATATGCAACATTGCGTTTTGTATTCGTTTGAACTAGGGAGAAATGTATATGCTACATTTGTGGGAAGCGTTGTTGCTGATCGGAACCAATCCACAGTTGACCATTCGCAAATCAATAACATTGCTCAGGTGCAACCAATTCACTATCAATCATCATTAGCATCAAATAGGAAAAGTTAATAAACTTGAAACATGATTTTCACATCAACCAACTTTGGATAAGATACGGCAAAGAGTCATCATATGCAACTTATGTTGTCAAAGCACAATCGACACAAGTTGCTCCGGCAGATTGTCACTGGTGATGAAAAGTCGGTTCCACATGTCAACCCTAAAGATTTTCCTGAACCAGAACCAAAACATGTTGTTATTAATTTGGTGGAATATTCAAGGAATTATATACTGTAAGTTTCTACCTCGTAATATCATGATTGGCTCGGAGCTGTACTGCAAACAACTTCAAAACTAGGGAGTTGCACTACAAGTCAATTACCCTAAAAGACGAAAATTTCAAGTACTTTATGATAATGTCAAATCTCATACGGCAAACATTACCCGTCAAAAGGTAGAAGAATTAGAGTAGGAGGTCGTACCCCACCCACTATATTTGCTAGATGTTTGACTTTCTGCTTGTTATCTGTTGCAGAAACATTTTGACGATCGGTTAGGCATATATAATACAGAAAAAGAAAGACTCATATAATTATTCAGTTCGTTTTGACAAAAGATGTGGGTGGGTGTAGGTGTGGGTACGAGTGTCAAGTTGTCTTAATCCACCCCACCCAACATCCACGCCCACATCGGCTCTCCACATCCACATCCACACCCTATACCCACACCCCAACCCTTTTCAGGCTTGTTTATTGTTTGTGATTTGAAATTTCTTCAACACTTTTACTGGTATGCAGATAAACTTATTCTGTTATACCGATTTGAAATTCTTTGTCATAATTTTTACATCACCTTATCAAACTGTTGCATCTATGACATAATGATGACTTTTTCCTCAATACAATCTTGGAAATAAATAATTTGTCTATCGATCTACGGAATTGTTTAGTAGATATTTAATATTTCATGTGAAAACGTTAGAAGAGAACACAAATTTCAATGATTTGACATCACGATGCAAGAAGTATGGTTACCTATGGCATATCAATATTCATCTTAGTAATGATCTTTTTTCAACGTAATAGGATAGATTATACATGGAAATATAAAAGATCATTCGTTCCTACACAAAAAAAAACCTTGTATAGAGTTGGTCGTTTTCGTATTGTTATGGTTCTCAGTTGATAAATTTTCACGAAGTTGAAATCTAACTCTAAACCTGGATAACTGACATTTATCGAGTAGAAGTATGATTACTCTGAAAATATATCCTTTTTTTGTTGTTATTGAAATTAATTTATTAATCTCATTCAAGAATATTACAATGATTTATTTCTTCACTTGTCTTGATGAATTTTTGAGAGTAACATTCGAACTCTTTCACTCAGTCAATAGAATCTTGATCATTCTTGTATAGAGATACTGATTTTACTCGAAAAATTGATTGAGAAATGGATCTTGACGATGTTATTGAGAATTGTCACTGAATTGATTTGAAGGGAAACAAACAAAAAATACATTGAAGGCAGAAAGGGTGTAGATGTGCATCTTCTCCTCTATCACACAGTTATAGTATGGCTAAATAAATTAATTTATATTATGAATTTTTTTGAAAGACAATATCAATGAACAGAAAGCTTCAGACAACAAGCGATTAGTATCAGCATAAAAGCAACAAACATAGCATAGCTCAAGCTATTTGAATATCAATGCAAGATAGAGTCGAGATAGTCTAGTTATTGATGAAGTTTGATAATGATAAGAGTTCCTCAAATAGTGCCTGATTGATCAAATATAATTCTGTCTGTTTTTTTTTTGAAATTATGATTGAGCAGCAATTCGACGAGAATGAAAATGATTTTTCATCGATCGATAAAAGCTTATGACATTCCAGATAATGAATCGTAAGCCAATCGTAAGATCACCATAGAGACCAAGTACTGATGTCGCTACATACAAGATATTATTCCATGAAACATATTCAAAATTACAATGACTTGGTGCACATGCAGCAAAATAATTTTCGTATGACATATTGTATGTCCAGCCTTCGAGAAAAAATTCGTCAATGAGTGTACTAATTGATGTGTTCTTTGAAAACCGCGATGGTATTGAATCATCTAAAGGCGATATAGTCAAGGGTAGTACTGTGGGTGGAACGAAATCGATAGGTGGTGATCCATTGATTTCTATGTAGTATTCAAGATAAGTGAGAATAGTAGAGATGCAACTCGATGAAAAGAAACATTCAAGTGTAGACATACGAAGTCCTTCCATAGGTAAACATCCAACAACAAGACCGGGTAAAAAGAGACCGGGTGGGCCGATCCGTAATGGCTCCTGACATGCTGTCGAAATCATACAATTACACGTACTATTGGTGAATACATGAGGTACACTTCGAATGAGATAACTATCTGATTCATCACCATATTCCAACGACCAATCAGTATTGAAGGCTGTCGGCAAAAAAGTGAAGTGAAACATTTCAAGTAGAAAAAATTGTGTCCGTCGAAAATCGTCTGGCATTAGCCGAATCTGACTAGTGACAATAGTGATGGGGTCTAGTGAACTTCGAGGTAATACAGTTGCGGTTGTCATCGACGATTGATAGAATCCGTCCATATACAAATTGGCATACTTTATTATTCCTTCACACATCCATTTCAAAAGTTGAAAATGCCTACTGAGAAGAGTTCGATCAAGTTGCGAATAGCTGTTTGCAGAGGTCCCATATCCATATAATAACGTTATCCATGCTGAATTGATAAATGCACTCGAACAGATCTGAACAATAGATGATATAAAAAATCTTAGAAATTCATAAAATATAGATAACATTAAATATGCAACAGCACTCAGAAGTGTAAAAACAAACTAAACTTAATATTATATTGTTTAATAAGAGATCTTTCTATCTTCAATGAATAATAATAGGCGTTGGTATCAACTGACAATCAAGAGCCTTCTGCATTTGAAAACTATACAAACTATAAGTATATTCTTCTCATTCTTTGTATATAAATAATCAGACTCGCTCAATGAGTAGCGTTCAGAAAAGGTTTTCATCATCTCTCCAAAACTATCACTACGCTCTACTTGTCCCCCGCTTTCTTGTTTCCCATACTTCAAAAAAACCTCGTTCTCGTATGACGAACTATCCTCCACCGATATAGCAAGAAATGATCCTCACATGTGAATATGAATATCATTAATTCGCATGCATTACCTGATGAAATTTGAGTTTAACAGAAATAAGATTTTCGTACGATACAGTAGGTTTTTGGCAATAACACGAGAGTGTAGCTGGATATTTTTGTTGAAGTTGTTCAAATGTGGTAAGTGAAGGTAACAATACCGTTTTGGAGACATTAATTAGACTGAAACCATTTAAGAGGGCAAATGTTGTCAATATTGTACTGAGTAAAATAATATAGATCCGACTTGATATAAGTGCCACCTCTGTGCGATCTGGTATTCGACTAGTGGAATATTCTCTTCTGAACAGATTGATTTTGACCACGCGTTTCTTTATTTCAATTTGTAGACTACGGAGTCGATGTGATAGACCTAACAAGTAATAAAACAAAAACAATCATTATCTTATGAACATGTGTCAATCACATATAGTGTGTATGCATCGAATGATTTTAATCTCAAGCTCAAATCTATGAAGTTTAGATTATAGATAGAGAGAAATTTGGAAAGACTCAATAGCACATCTATATTCATACATTTCTTGTGTCATCAATTTCGTACAAGAAAATGAAAACTGTTTTAATCAAATTATTGTAATGCATTAGCGATAATCACAATAGTTCAAAAGTGATAAAGCCCACGGTGAGACAAGTGATTCTCCACTTTCTGACATGTTCGCAAATCGTGACGAACATGTCGACATATTATTTTAAAATTTTGAACCTCAGACTTTGGTATTGTCAAAGAAGTTTTTGGAATATCGTACATACTCAAAATTCACTAAATCCAAAAGTCTTTTTTTTCAATATGGTATATTACTTAATGTATACTAAAAGTTCTGGCCACGGCGTTTAAAGGATCTTGTCGAATAGGATAACCTATTCAGAAATGAGGAACCAAATATAACATATTGTAGAGCTTTTCGAGGCGCACCGAATGGTATATAGGAAATTCTGTTTCCATAAGACGTTGAAGGAATTAGAGTCAATATACTGACAGAGGACTCTACGTTCATGTTTACATTCATCCACATTCACAAGATGACCGGAAATGCTACGTATATCATGTCATAGTCCCTCAAAAACTCTATCAAATCGTATGTAAGAAAAAAATATTTTACAAGTACTTTCGATTAATATCAAGGACGACAACATTCATTAACTGATTATGCTTAGGTTTGAGTGCAGGTATTAATGCGTGTGAACGTGTAATCGTCTATCAATAAATTGATTCTAATTCCTTCAGCGTCTTATGGAAACAGAATTTCCTATATACCATTCGATGCGCCTCGAAAAGCTCTACAACATGGTATATTTGGTTCCTCATTTCTGAATAGGTTATCCTATTCGACAAGGTCCTTTAAAC